AGAGGATCTAAAAAAAAAAAACTGGAATAGTTAGGAAATAATGGTAAATGGAAAATATTCCATATCAGAACCTATAGGAATCAGTTTAAGTGATAATAAAAGAAAAATTAAGTGATTTTTATACTAAAAAATGAAAATAAAGTATCTAACTCAGGAATTTAGAAAATGAAAAAAAATTAAATCTTAAGAAAGCAAAAGATAAGAGTTAACAGTGAAATGTGGAAATCAATAAGTAAGAAAATAGAAAATGGCACAACTAATAAGTAAAATGAGCTATTTATTCAGGAAAAAAAAAAGCAAAAAAAGATAATTAACTAATGTAATCAAGAAAAAAAGGAAGAGAAAGCACAAATACCCAAAACAAAAAGTTTTTAAAAAGCCACAGATGCAGCGGAAGTTTTTTTTTTTTAATACTTTTGGTTGTCAGAAGACCTTTATTCAGTTTATTTTCATGTGGTGCTGAGGATGGAACCCAGGGCCTCACACATGCTAGGAAGAGCCCCACCCCTGAGCCCCAGCCCAGCCGCAGAGGAAGTTTATAGAATTAAAAGGGATTCATTTCTCAGTTTCATGAATACAAATTGGGAATTAAACAGATAATTTTCTTACACACACACACACACACACATACTTATAATCAACCAAAACTGGTTCCAGTAAAGAGAAAATATTTAACGACTAACTACCAACTTCACAGAAGCATTAGGGCCAGAGAATGTCACTATAGAATTCTACTAAATCTATAAAGAACAGATTATTTCAAAATCTTTTTTTTTTGTGGTGGTGGTGGTGCTGGGGATTAAACTCAGGGCCTTGTGAATGCTAGGCAAGCACTCTGGCAACTGAGTAGCTCCCCCAGCCCTCCAAAATCTTTTTCTAAAGTAAGAATAACATTTATTCTAAAATTCTATTAAAAAAAAACACCCAAAAATTTAAAAAGTCAGTCTTATTTGAGAATATTGAAGTAAAAGTTTAAATGAAATATTATAAATCAGAATTCAGACGTGTAGTTAAAGAATAATATACCATGAGCAAATAATCTTGGGTTTTTTTGTGTCTTTATTTAGAATTGCATGACTATCAATTTCAGGAAACCTATCAACATTGATCATCAAACTCACTTGTCTATAAAGAAAGATCCTGTGGTCATTTTAGTTGATGTTTAAAGGCAATTAAAAATCATTCAGCATCCATTCTTGATTATTTTTAAACTCTAGAAGTAAAGAATATTCCTTAAGGGGGCCGGGGCTGTGGCTCAGTGGCAGAGTGCTTGCCTAGCAAGTGCGAGGCCCTCGGTTCCATCCTCAGCACCACATAAAAATAAAATAAAGGTACTGTGGCCATCTACGACTAAAAAAAAATGTTAAAAAAAGAATATTCCTTAACATAACAAAATATCTCTCATCCCCACAGTTAGCATCATGGTTCACAAGGAAACAACCAAAACATCTAACAGTAAATTAGGAAAAAAAGACTGAGGGTCAATATCACCACCATCATTTAACACTTTCTGGAGATAGTAACCAACACAATTAAAAGAAAGAAATTAGAGATATAAAATGGTACAACTGAATAATGTACAACTGAAAAATCCAGGAGGATCAACGGAAAGAGTCTTGCAAATAATGACAGGATCGAGTAAGGGAAGGTCCCTGAGTCTGAAATCGATAGGCACAATCAACAGCCTTTCACCCCTGCGCAGCAGTGGAAAGTCAAAGGTGTGACGGTGGTGGGGAACCAGCGCCTCCTCCTGTGGATGGGACTTGAGTAGTGACTTGTTCTGGGTGAGGGCCACTATTGCACACTACAGTAAACCCTATAACATCGTCAACTGGGGCCACTCACATTGATGACCCTTTCTTCCTCAACCATAAACCAACCTTAGCTTACTGCAACATTTTTACTTTATGGACTTGATTTTAAAATTTGACTCATAAAACTCAGCTTAAAACACAAACACACTGTACAACTATATAAAAACAGATTAATATTCTATAAGCCTTTTCCTATTTTCAAATGTTTAAAAACGTCTTTTCTATTAAAATAAAAACCAGGGCTAGGCTGTGGCTCAGGGGTGGAGCACCTGCCTGGTTCGTGTGAGGTCCTGGGTTCCATCCCCAGCACCACAACCCCCCCCCCCATTAGCCTAGCCTACCAAGGTCAGGACCACCAGGGTCACTGTCCTGCACCTCGCGTCTCTTCCCACTGGAAGGCCTTCAGGGCCCTGACCCACAGGGGACTGTGGTCTCCTGTGGGGCACTGCCTCTTTCTGGGATCCATCCTGCAGGACTCCCCGAGGCTTCTCTCCAGGAGACGTCATTTCAGACACGTGCATGGGGTTGCTTGGATTCTCCTTTGTTCATCATGAATGTGCCCGTGAGCGGACGGTGCACCATGAACATGCTTCTCTATCAATGAGAATGTTTTGGGGTTGGGGTCCGTGCTTTCAGACTTTTTAAGGAGCTTTCTGAGGTCTACAAAGCTTCTTCTAAACCCTTGACTGTGAATTCTTTTTGAGTTTTTTTTACTTCTCCTTCTGTTTCCTTTTCTGAGCTGGGGGTAGTGGTGCACACCTGTGATCCCAGTGACTTGGGGGCTTGAGGCAGGAGGATTGCAAGTTTGAGAGCAGCCTCAGCAACTTAGCAAAGCCCTAAGCAACTTAGCAAGACCCTGTCTCAAAACAAAAAGGACTGGGGACATGGGTTAGTGGTTGGGCACCCCTGGGTTCAATCCCCAGTACCCACCAAAAAGTCCCCTTTTCCCTTGCTTCTTCTGCAGCTGTGTCCCTCCCCCACTCCCCTTATAAAGGACAGAACCACCGCTGTACATGCCACCCGTTAGGAACCGAAACAGAGTCATGGGCGTATGGCTGCATGATGTTCTGTTGTACAGATCACAATTCATTGATCATCTTCCTATTGATGATACTCAGGGTTTTTCTTGTCTTTCAGTTTGTGTTTTTTGATACGGGTGTAATTTTTTAGTGGCCATTAGAAGATATAAATATAAAAAGTAGCCAGGCACAGTGGTGCACGCCTGTAATCCCAGAGGCTTGTGAGGCCGAGGCAGGAGGATTAGAATTCAAGGCCAGCCTCAGCAATTTAGCAGGGCTGAAAGCAAATTAGTGAGACCCCCATCTCAAAATAAAAAAAAAAACAGGCTAGGGATGTGGCTCACTGTTTAAGCACCCCTGGGTTCAATCCTTAGTACCAAAAATAAATAAATAAATAAAGGTAAACAATGGTGCTCACTTTAGCACCACATCTACTAAAAAAGTAAAACAATAAAAATATTGGAAGAAAACAATAACCTTAAGCCAAGGGAAATTTCTTAAACAACACTGGAAACTCAGGCAACTAAAAAGAAATGTTCATTTAACACTACATACAAATGTAAATTTTTAAGAGAAAAAAAAAAGCACTATAACCAAGAGACAAGAACAAATTGGCAGAAAATGTTTTTAATAAGAAATTTATAGAAACAGAGTAGAATAGTAGTCACTAAGGCCATAAAAGGGGAGGGAAGACCCAAGGAGGTTGGATAATGGGTACCAAAATAGAGTTAAACAGGAGGACGAAGTCCTAGTGGTCCATAGCACAGCAGGGTAACTGTGGCTACAATCATGTGTATATAAAATACATTTCTCTACATACGCATCATATATTTAATAATGTGTTTCACAAATGCTGTACATGTCATATATTTAATAAGGAACTAGAGAGAGGAGTTTTAAGATCCCCAATACAAAGAGATTATTGAGGAGCTGGGAATGCTGATTATCTTGGTTTGATCATTATACATTTGCTATATTAACACTCCCATACTCATAAATGCATACAATAATCGTATGTCCAGTTTTATTATTTTCTATGTTTTTTGTTTTTGTTTGTAGTGCAGAGGATCGAACCTAGGGCCTTCAGTCTGCTATGAAAATATTTTGCCACTGAGCTACATATCCCAGCCCATGTGTCGATTTTAAAAGTTCAGCCAGGTGTGGTGGTGATGCTTCAGATTCCAGCTACTCAGGAGGCAGAGGTAGAAAGATCACAAGTTCAAGGCCAGCCTTGGCAATCTAATGAGCTCCTGTCTCAAATTAAAAAATAAAAAGGGCTGGAAATTTAGCTCAGTGGTAGAGCACCCCTGGTTTCAGTTCCCAGGACTGAAAAAAAAGAGATTCTAAGCAACTCAGCGAGAACACCTCTAAATAAAATACAAATATGTCTGGGAATGTGGCTCAGTTGTTAAGTGTCCCTGAGTTCAATCCCCAGTACCAAAGGAAAAAGAAATAGCAGCTAGATTAATCTCTCTAATATAGAGAAAACTCCTAAAAGTTGAGTTTTACAAAAATGCAAAAATATGAACATGCAATTAATAAAAGAGGAAATACCAAAGACCAATAAACACATGAAAAGATCTTCAACCTCACCAGTCATGGAAATGCAAATAAAACCACAGTAAGATCTAGTTTTTCATCTTTCAGATTGGCAAAAAATGTGAAATATAAATAAATCCAACACAGGCAAGGGCATGAGCAGATGCACACTATCAAGCATTCCTGGTGAACATCTAAATGTCAACAACCTTTTGGCGAGCAAGATGATCAGGGTGAAAAAAGATTCAGTGTGCATATTCTTTGATCCAGAAATTCAATTTAACTTAGAAAAACCACTCTGTGAACAGAGGCATCGGTGTGTCCCTGGGCCTCTCTCCTGCCCGACTCCTCTCTCCCATACACCTCGTTGGGTTTGTGGTCCCACTTCCAGGCCACTAGACTCTTTTATGAAGACATGCACAATGTCTTCACTTCGCTGATTTGTTTTACGTGGTGCTGAGGATGGAACCCAGTGCCTCACGTGTGCGAGGTGAGTGCTCTGCTGCTGAGCCCCGGCCCGGCCCCAGCTCCCCTCCACCTTCACCACAGCCAGCCAAACGAGGCCTGAAACAGGGAGACGGGCCTCAAGCTCTGGAAGCTCCGTCTAGGGGTTCCCCTGTGCTTTCAGGAGCTCAAAGCCAAGGACATCAGCAAAACGGACATTAACTTCAAGTTCCCGCGGCTGCTGACAATGTGGAGGACACTGGCGGCACCTGGCAGAGGCTGCTGTGCCCTGGTCATCCTGATGACAATTGTGGACATGCAGCCTGCTGGTAAGGACCCCCGGGGAGAGGGGCCTTCGGGGAACCCTGGGCTCATGGGGAGGGATGATTCCAAGTTTTGCTCTGTGTGTGTGTGTGTGTGTGTGTGTGTGTGTGTAAGAAAAGGGCCCACTCTTCCTGACACTGGTGGGCGGGTGACTTCTTCCTCACTGTACTAGCATTGCTGCCGTCTCCGTCAGACATCTTCCCTCTGTATATGTTGACGAGAGCCTCGTAATCTGGGCCATAAGATTCCTTCAGGCTTTTACACGCTGCACGTTCCTAAGATGTGGATTTGAAACCCACATAATACAATCTTGTCAATTTTAGCAACCCAATGACCTGTGCCTTGGTTTATTTATAAAATGGTAACAATGATACCTGTCTCCATGACTACAGTGAGGATTAGGTGGATAAGAAAGCATTCTAATAAAGACCCTATAGAAGCTCAATTTGGAGAATAGAAATAAATATATTTCTGAATTAATGGGATTGCAGGTTTCCCTCAGATAGGGCTCTAGGTGCTAAAGTACTCTTTTTAAATGTTTATCTTTTAGTTTTAGGTGGACACGATATCTTTATTTTACATTTATGTGGTGCTGAGGATCGAACCCAGGGCCTCATGCATGCTAGGCGAGGGCTCTACCCCTGAGCCCCAGCCCCAGCCCCAGCCCCAACTGAAGTGCTCTTTTAAGGGAGTGGACGTACCACGGCCACCGAGGAGAAGCAGGCCCCGGGTGGGGGGGGCAGCAAGGTCAGTACACGTCTGGTGGATTTTTAGCGGAGCTGGATGTAGTCAACGCTTGGGTTTTGAAAGGGATCGAGGTTCAGGGAGCGGACGGCGGACAGAAGAGCCTGCAGCATTGGGTCACAAAGTGTGAACTGCAAGGAGGGAGGTGAGCAGAGCAGGGGACACAGGCGCGGCAGGTCAGTGGGCTGGAAAGTCAGGTCAAGGCACCTGCGGGGCCGGAGCAGCACCCCGGGTTCGTCCCACTGTCTGTCTTCTCCGTTCCTCTGTCCAAGCTGTAGATCACCTATAGATAAGATCGTCAAGTCTGCAGATTCATGGTCTTTGAAAGTCATGGTCCCTCAACAGCTTGTCTGCTTTTCCAGTCAGTCCTCGTTCTGATTCCACATGAAGGCCATTTTTAAATCTCTCTACTGCCGGAGGCCCCTGCCTCACCCTTGCATTTCATAGGGAATGACAGGTGGTGTGGCTCTGCGGAGGGCAGGCCTGGCTTCAGTACCTAGCACCCCACAGCACCAAGAGCTGACAGGACCCGGGCACTTACTCTCAAGTCTCAACTCAAGGACTCAAACCTCTCTGTGATGTTTTCCTGATTCTTTGGATAGATGCGAGAATCTCTAAGTGTGTTATGATTCTCTGCTAATCTGTTTCTGTATTAGGCTGTAACTCTTGGTGAAGCCCCCGTCTTGTCCGTCACATCCCTGGCCCGGTGCACAGTGTGGAAACTAAGCTGATCCATTGTCTCTGAACTCCCCTTCCCAGGTGCACATGCTGCTCACTGCACCGGAGTTAGGTAACTGGCCTGCAGTCAGAGTCAGAACTTGTCTCTTGTCTCCCAGGGTAGCTGCTAGGTTGGGCTAAAGACCTCCCGTGATGGAAGCAGCCATGGTGGGCCCAAGCCGCTCCACCTGGCCCCTCTGGGTAACCTGCTCTTCACGTTCCAGGAGGCCTACACATCACCAGCTCAGCTTCCCAGCACGGAGAGCAACTGACCTTCATCTGTACGCTGTGGCACAAGAGAGAAGAAGCCGAGGGGTTCATAGTGTTTTTGTGCAAAGACAGATCTTGGAACTGCTCCTCTGAGGTCAGCCTGAAGCAGCTGAGACCTAAGAGGGATCCCGAGATGGACGATGTCAGTGAGAAGTCCTCTCAGCTGGTGTACACCATCAACAGAGTCACACCAGGGGACATCGGGACGTACCAGTGCTGTGCCAGGAGCCAGAAACTGGGCTTGCACCTTCAAGGCCATTTTTTCTCTGTTTTAGTCACAGGTAAGTCCCTGATATCCCTAATGCCATCATAGGTACTCTCCATCTTGGGGAAAGTCCTTCTTGTCACTCAATCCTTTGACATCATGCCCACTGGCAGATAGTGCCATTTTTTCAAAACACACATGCGAAGGAAATCTCATTGTCTTTAATTCAAAAAGTCTGGGCTGGGGCTGGGGCTCAGTGGTAGCGCACTTGCCCGGCATGTGTGAGGCACTGGGTTCCATTCTCAGAACCACATATAAATGAATAGAATAAAGGTCTATCAACAACTAAAAAAAAAAAAAAATCTTGGGAGTGGCCATCTTATTTTTATTGGGAAACTGAGTCACAGTGGGGGTGAAAAGAGTTGTCATTATAAATGGCTGGGGCTGGTAAAAACAGGCACAGGTGTGGGGTTTAGGCTTCCTAACTCCTAATTTAGAGTTCTCCTTAAGATATGGCTATATTTCTAAAAAAGGCAGGGGGGTGCATTTGAGATAAAATGGGGGCTTGACTTAAGGAGCATTTAGTTGCAAGAAACAGAAACCTACTGAAGCCACCACGGACTCAAGGTGTGGGTAGAGATAGAGCAGAATATGTAATACAGTTGCCTTCAGCTGTTTCTCAGAATCAGAAATCAGAAAGCTGACAGGGGACAGGTGGTGTAGCTCTGTGGTGGAGCACGTGCCTCATGAGGGCAGGTCCTGGGTTCAGGACCTAGTACCCCCACAGCACCGAGAGCTGACAGGACCCAGGCCCTCGGGACCGCGACCTCTCCAAGACAGCAAGGCCTCTGCACATCTCCTGCATCTTGTGCGGGTCCTCTGGTCCATTACTACCTTGGCACTGCCTGCACATGGCCACCCAGCCCCAACTTCATCGTGGGCCCAACAGAGGGTGCTTCTCTGTTCCTGTATTCCCAGACAACAGAGCAAGTCTTCCGTATTCTGTGAAAAAAAAAATTATCTCCCCCCCAATGTATCCAGCCAAACTACCCATCAATGTAAGAAGAGATGCTTTCAGATACGAATGACGAAACACCTAGCCTTTCACGGGGACTTTGGAAGAAGTGCAGAGGGATGTGCTTCAGTAAAACAAAACAGCGAAGCAGGAAAGTGGACACATGGGCTCCAAGAACGTGGAAGAGGGAAGAGGGAAGGAGATTCTAGAATGAAAAGAGGCCAAAAAGGGGAAAAAGAAGAGAGCAAGAGAGGACTTGGGAAAGGAGAGCTCTGGGGAGAAAAAGGCAATTAACAGATCACCTTTCTGAACCTATGACAAACCTGATAAAAAGATTCATGACGTGGACCTGGAAATTCTGTCAGCAAAAAATCATTTTAAAAAATAAAATTTCAAAAAGAAACTGCACATTACTCTGCAAAAATGACATTTACAGAATTTGAATTGGGCTGTGAGTAGAGTGCTGGCCTAGCATGCATGGGGCCCTGGGCCCAATCCTGAGCACTGGAAAGAGGGCACCATATCATCATCACCGCAACAGAAGGTCGACAGGTAATGTTTAAGCTGCACTATTAACAAGTGGCAATATGAGCATAGTATTTAGGGAATAAGACATTTAAAAGAGTTGGCAGTCATCATCTAGGGGATAAATCTAGGATAAGAGGACACTGCTAATATCATCTAAAAAATTCCAACACTGTCTTAATTATTAACTTCAAGAAAAATAATTATCCTCTCCTCCCCCCACCAAAAAAAAAAACCTAGTAAGGAGCTGTTTGACAAATGTTTTCATCGTATCCTATGGTTGGTTACTAATTAATTAAGATTTTGTACTTCACTTTTTTTCTCTGTCCCAGGGATTGAACTCGGGGGCACTCGACCACTGAGCCACATCCCCAGCCCTATTTGTATTTTATTTAGAGACAGGGTCTCACTGAGTTGCTTAGCGCCTCGCCATTGCTGAGGCTGGCTTTGAACTTATGATCCTCCTGCCTCAGCCTCCCAAGCTGCTGGGATCGCAGGCGTGCGCCACCGCGCCGGGCTCCACTCCGTGGATCTAGTCTCTTCCCTGCTTCTAGTATCTTCCTGACCTAGCTGCAGACCTAGCTGCGGCATCCGGCCCTTCTCTAACTCCTGGCTCCTTCCTCAAACTCCCCCTCGTTGGCTTCTGTACCTGTCCCCTGGGTCCTCCCACCTATAGGGCTTCTTTAATCTTCTTCTCTCTTCCATTTCTTCCTCTCACCTCTTGAGTCCTTCCTAAGACCCTTCACCCCTTCAACTTCCTCTCCTCCGTCTGCATCCACCCTCATATCCATCCCTGTACCTCCTTGCAAAGGACCCATAAATTAACCTCTCCAGCTTCAGCCTCTCTCTTTTTAATATTTACTTCTTTTTTAGGTGTAGATGGACACAACACAATGCCTTTATTTTTAGGTGGTGCTGAGGATCGAACCCGGGTCCCGCCTGTGCTAGGCGAGTGCTCCACCGCTGAGCCACACCCCAGCCCTTAGTCTCTTTTGTTGTAAACATCCCCACTGACAAGTGGACTCCCGGCTCCCAGATGCCCTACCATCTCCTGGACACCAACACTACCCTCCCGAGCCCGATTTCTGCACAGGATTCTCAATGCAGACCTTGGTTCCGTTTGATCCCAGCACAACGTTCACACTGAAGGGTGGGGCGGGAGCAGTCAACCAGACCTTGTGATTCCGTGGTTCTCATCCCTAAGCCAGTCAGTTACTTTGCTTCCCAAAGACGCTTCACAAGTCTCTTCCTCCAACCCATCCTACATACTGCCACCAGACACACTAAAATGCTAATTTGCATATGCCACACCACTACTCTTCAGAAAGTATAAGGCATTTTTTTTAAAAAAATCCTGGCACTGGAGGCTCTGCAAAACTTTATTATTTTGTGAATACTTGCTCTAATTAAATAAATGGTTACCCTTTTCCATTTGCCTAACAAATATTTATAATCTATCCCAGGTACAGTGCCAGGCGTTGGAGAAGAGTATGAGGTACAGTGTAGTCCTTGCTCCTTACAGTCTAGTATTCACATTCTCCTAATACATTCTAAGTGTTTCTGCTTTTGGTCGTTTTTCTTAACAAAGAATGCCTTTCTTATCCTTTCCGCCTATTTAAGCATCAGAGCGCATCAGGTAATCCCTAGCTGTGGAGATCAGGTTTCCTTTGGAAACTAGTAGGACTAGACAGGTAACAGGTGACATCACTAAACAAGGCTTTTCACATCATGAGTGCTTACTACGTGCCAGGCATCGTGCTGAATGTTATTTCATTTTCTCTCCACGTGCTCTTGAAGTAGGTGCTATACTTGCCCTGTGACAACTAAGCTCACCCGGCAAGTAGATGATAAAAACCCACATGTATTCTAACGTCCAAGATTTTAACTTTGTCACGTTCTTGATCCACTCCAGAAGACGGTCTGTGAGTGAGTTGGGAACACACAGGTCCAAGGTGATTAAGCTGTCTTAGCCGTCTCTGGCAGAACTCTGGAGTTCCTCCAAGGTCTCTGCAACCCTGGATTCTACAGTTATTGCTGCTTAAGTGTACCACCACCACCACCCGCGTTAAAAATACTTATTTGGACAATGAATTATGCTGGGAGGTATCCTTAGAGATCATGTGAGATGTTCTGAGATGATGCGAAAGGAGATGATTTGTGAAACCTTCCCTCGATCCATGATTCCTTTTTAAGACTTGGGGAATTATTAAATTTTCACACAAAATATTGTTTCATCTTTGAAAAATGAATGTAATATTCATGCATTTAACAAATAAGGAAGTGATACAGAAATAAGAATCCTGCACTTTTTAAAAGAGTTGTTTAATCAGGTTTTTGTAAGTTCTGTCCTAAGTCGCTACACAGGGCAGAGAGTGCATTTCGACACCGTGCACAGGTGGAGCGACCCTCTCATCATTCCGACTCCCCTTTGAACCAGAGACAGGGAACTACACGGTGACAGGACTGAAACAGAGAACGCACCCCGAGGTCAGCCAGAGTGGAGGCGCGCTCAGCTCAGGTCTCCCACAGGAACAGCCGTGGTTCTGGCTCTTCACAAGCCTGGTGGCCTTCCGAGGTATGTTCAGAAGGACACACGAGCAGGGGAGTGCTGTGCCTCTGCTGCCTTGGCTTTCTCCGGGAGGGGAGAGGGAGATGTTCCTTGGGCCCTGGCTATCACCATGTCCTCAACGGAGTCCAAGGTCCTAAAACTCCCCAAGCGGCAGTGGTGACTCGCCTCTGATCCCAGTGACTTGCAGGCTGAGGGAAAGGGAGCAAGTTCAAGGCAGCCGGGCAGCTTAGTGAGGCCATCTCAAAAATTCAGAAAGCAATGGGATGTAGCTCAGTAAGATTGGGGAATCATCAAATTTTCACACAAAATATTGTTGCATCTTTGAAAAATGAATGTAATATTCATGCACTTAACAAGGAAATGATACAAAAATAAGAATCCTGTACTTTTTAAAAGGGTTGTTTGTTTATAAGGTTTTATGAGTTTTGTCCTAAGTCGATACACAGGACAGTAGAGTGCACAGGTGGAGCAGCCTAGCACCCTGGTTCAAGTCCCACCACTGGGGAACACACTGAGTCAGACTTCCTACTGGGTAGGACGGAGGCCGTGGGAGAGGCAGGTAAATACAGGCTGCCAGTGCAGGTGATGAGCAGATGTACTGGCTACAAGGTGAGGCCCCGTGCCTTTAGCTACTACAGGAAAGGGAAGAAGGCAAGACGTGGACTTGGGGAGGAGGGTTTAACAATGCAGCTGCTCAACAGAGTGGATGTCCAGATTGACTGTATAAATACTTTGTAGCTAAGTCCCCTGAGCACCATTTACAATGTGAAAGAGGGTTTTCCCCCTTAGATTAAAAAAAATTTGGAACTTCCAATAACTTTTCATTATGCTTTTGTATAACAAGTAACTGAGGCGCGTTTTCACCTGTCCTCGGCACTCTTTTCTTCTTCTCTTTGTACTGGGGATTGAACTCAGGGGCACTCGACCACTGAGCCACATCCCCACCCTTTTTTGTATTTTATTTGGAGACAGGGTCTCGCTGAGTTGCTAAGTGCCTTGCTGTTGCTGAGGCTGGCTTTGAACTCGCGATCCTCCTGCCTCAGCCTCCCGAGCTGCTGGGATGACAGGAATGCGGCACTGCGTCCAGCTGTCCTTGGCATTCTTAATTCCATTTTATTTAGGATTTCCTCAAAATAATAACTACCAGGTGGAGTGTTAGCAGAATGTAGGTTCTGAAAACACAAAGACTTGTCTTATTTACCCCAACAAAAAGACAACAGCTGACACATAGTTGGCTCTTAATAAATTTGTTAAAGAACTTTCAATGATGGGTCAGATGCTTTCATGGTGAGTCATACAATCCCATACAAGCAAATATCCCAATTACTCATCGGGAAACAGAAATGACCTACTCTCTCCACCTCCATCATCATCTTCCAGAATCAGGACCAGCAAAACCTCCCTATGCCGGCCCCTTAACTGCAAATCATCAGACAGACACCTACCTTACCTTTTATCCTTGGGAAGGATTCGTAAATGGAACTGCCAGTTTCCATATTTAAATACAACTCTACAGAAGTCTGACCCTTCCAACATGATTTATTGAATCCAAATACCCTGGGATGATTAGGCTACTGTTGTTATTATTTTTTTTAAACTGGACACAACATCTTTATTTTATTTATTTATTTTTATGTGGTGCTGAGGATCGAACCCAGGGCCTCGGACGTGCTAGACGAGCGCTCTACTTCTGAGCCACAACTCCAGCCCCTAGGCTACTGTAATTAATAAAATAATTTTTATTTCTTCAGGTATAATAAAAACTCTAAAGGAGAAAACAGTCTAACCACAAAATCTTGCTCCCTGTAGTCTAGTATTTATGTTCACTAACCACCTTCAGCTCCCAAGTTGTCCTAGAACAAGATCTCTTGAGCTTTTGTCCTGGTTTCAGTCAGGTGAAAAGTGAACCCTAACATTTAATTATCTTTCTCCTATATTCGATTCAAGTAACTTTATAGGTACACACACACCCCCCAAAAAAAGAAAGAAAATTCAACGCTGAATATTCGATTAAACAAGAAAATATGTACTATTTATCAGCTTCTTTTTCTTTATCCTCCTCTTCCAACTGAAGGCTCAGCGGAACTATGGAAGAGATAATGTTCAGTAGAATAAAAAGTCCACATTTTCTTGGGTCCAGAAGGATCATATCGACCAAGTTACTGGGCTTATGTGTGAGGAAAGGGAGGGGGAGTTTGCCGGAAGCCGAGTTCAGTGGCTTTCCTGACCCGAGGTCACTCTGCCAACAGCCCCCTGCCGTGTGTGGGAAGCCACCTGAACTTTCTGAGCAGCGTCTGTTTCTTCTTTGTCCCACCTTGCAGCCAGGAGAGACCAAGGTTTGCTCCCTCCCCACCTCCTCCAGGGTCAGCCAGGTCTGCCCAGGGATAGGACTCTGGTCTAACAACAAGACACAGCGTACACGGGGCCGGAGCCGACACCTGTGATTCCAGACACTCTGGAAGCTGAGGCAGGAGGGTACAAGTTCAAGGCTGGCCTCAGCAATTCAGTGAGACCTTCAGCAAATAAGCTGAGACCCTGCCTCAAAATAAAAAATGAAGCGCACTGGGGATGCAGCTCAGTGGTAAAACGCCGCTGGTGCCAACTCCCAGTGCTCCCCACAGGGAGGGACAAGGCGTATTCTACGTTTCCTTCCCCTTTCCATTCCCTCTGGTCATCAAGGCCTAGGAAACCGTCCCAGGACAAGGACAGACTCTTACCGCGTGAGGTGTATTGTTGCAATTCCACAATGTGAGATAATAACACAAACTTTTCACCTTCTTTCCACAGCTTTATGAGCTTTGTGCCAGAAGAAACTTTTTTTAAAAAGTCAAGAAAGATGAATCTAACAACAGAGAAAACACAACCCAGAGAGTCGGGAGCAGTATCTGAGGGTCGGTCGGTTCATTCCCCGACACCCCTCCTCACTGCCAGAGTGAACCTGCCTTTTCCCCACATTCGCACCAGTAAATTAAAAAACAGATTTAACAACAGTCCTCAAATATTGGGTAACTGTGTGTGTGTGTATTTTACCACAGAACTTTTCTCCATCCTCCCACAAGACCGCAAAATAAGCAAGTCAAAAAATTGAGAACACCAATTTTTTTCCTGGAAGAAATTTTTATTTTATACTATAAATGAAAGAGAGAAGAACCCAGCAAAGATGGGTGAGAGGAGAGGCGGGCCCGACCCGACTGGCTGGGTGTGAAGGAAGGACGTGAAGACAGACGGTGCCCGGCAGCACCACACAGCGCGGCTGGGGCGGAGGCTCTGCAGACCAGGGCAGACCATGACTGTCCAGCTCCAGCCAAGCGTTTGCCACCTTCTGTAGCCACTTCTCCCTCTTTTAACTCAACGCCCAGGGCAGCACTCGCAGTCTTTGTTTCCTAAACTCAAAACCCCCCTTGTCTTTGGATAGATCTCCTGCCATGGTTAAGCAGAGGAGGGAGCAGGATATTTCCAAGAACTGGAACCACCCGACAAGACGGCACATGTTTAGCTGGAGCTAATGGCAAGTCCTCAAAAGACAGACACCTTGAGATGACGGACCTACCAAATGTGAGAAGTCAGGTTGTGGGCACCAAGAGAGCTAAGGCTAAAAGACATCAGTACGAGCCTCATTAAGGACGGTCTTGAAACTCAAATTAAGAATTTTGGACACTGTTAACAGGAGGATCACAAGTTTGAGACCAGCCTCAGTAACCTAGCAATCCCTGTCTCAAAATAAAATTTAAAAAATAATGGACTGGGGACGTAGCTGAGTGGCAGAGAGCCTCAGGATTAAATCCCCAGTACCCACCACACACACACACCAAAAGGTCTGTATTTATATTTGGATATCACATCTATATTTCAACTGGATATAGATTTGATATAGCAGATAAGGATAAATCGGTTTAAAAATATTACTGACATCCTTTTTGTTATAATACTCATCCATCAAAAATACTAAAACTGGGTGGGGCTGGGTTGTGGCTCAGTGGTAGAACACTTGCCTAGCACATGAGAGGCCCTGGGTTCATACCTCAGCACCACATAAAATAAAAATGAATAAAATAAAGCTATTTTTTAAAAACACTAAGACTATAGTTGTCATCTTGTTGGGAAGGAACTAATGATTTGGGAGCCTTAAAAATGATACTTCTAGTCAGGCATGGTGGCGCACACCTGTAATCCCAGCGGCTCAGGAGGCTGAGGCAGGAGGATCGTGAGTTCAAAGCCAGCCTCAGCAAAAGTGAAGCACTAAGCAACACAGTGAGACCCTGTCTTTAAGTAAAATACAAAATAGGGCTGGGATGTGGCTCAGTGATTGAGTGCCCCTGAGCTCAATCCCTGGTACCAAAAAAAAAAAAAAAAAAAGTATTTCTTACCAGGGCGTGCGTGATGGCACACAGTCCTGTTATCCCAGTTACTCAGGAGGTTAAGGTAGGAGGATTGGAAGTTCGAGGACAGCCTGGGCAACTTGGCAAAACCCTGTCTCAAAAACAAAACAAAAAAGGGCTGGGGATGTGGCTCAGTGGTAGAGCACTCTATCCTGTGCAAGGCCCTGCGTTCGATCCTCAGTGCCGGGGCAGGTGGGGAGTGAGCATCCCCATGGCTCACACTCCACTTCTGTGGGCACCATCCAAGTATAACTTGCCAGCAAACCATAGAAAGTCTATATGTTTAAAAACCTTAAAGGTAAACGCCTACTATTCCTCATCTGTGACAGGCACAGGAGTGTGTCCTCATAATGCCTTCTGGACCCATCAAGGGCTATATTCTGATTCTGGAAAGTATCTCCAGTTTCATACACTGTCTCTTCGTTTTCTATTTTAAACCATTGGAGGAACCCAGTGGTTCCCAGCCCGAGTGCCGAGAGGCTGACGTTACTGCAAGCTGAACCCTGCCCCCCACTTTTTATTTTTTTAGTTATAGATGGCACAATACCTTGATTTTATTTATAACCTATGAGATTCATTCTGGAAACTCTCAATGTGAGTACTGTCTCCTATAGGTCATCTTCAATTTTTAAATCACTAGATTCTTCTTTTAAAGAGCACTTTTATCATTCTGTCTCTACCACAGAGGGCAAAGAGGATTAACTCCTTAACATCCAAATATCTATTTGAATATACATCCTGCTCCTTCTCCTCCTAAAATCTTCCTACCTGCTTATATCAGCTCTAGCAACCAACGGTGAAGTGCCCCTCCCTTACAATGCTGTTGCATTATGATTCAGAATACAGACCATGCTTTCCCCCTGCCTGATTTTGTTAAGATTGATAGATTTCACTTGTATTTCTTGAGCAAACACCACCCGGAGACCAGAGAAACCAGAGCATGCAGAAGGTCATGAAAAATATAATTTGGTAATGAAGAAATTTTAGGGCTGGGAGTGCAGCTCAGTGGTAGAGAATGTGCTTAGCATGTGCGAGACTTTGAGCTTGATCCCCAACACCACATAAAAAGATCTTTACGTTAATAGGTCAGTGCATTGAGTTAACTATACTATAGGAACAATGGATGATGAATGCCATTTCCTCTCAATCCTTAGAAACAACCAGATTCTTACTTCTAGTCAATCTCTTCACCACCTAAGTCAACAGGGTCCCACAGAGAACTCAGGCACACACTGGCCTAACCCACATGAAAAGGAAAGCGCAGACTGGGAGGCTCCGGCACCTTCTACGCCGCTGCTCGCTTTCTCTCAGTACACACCATATTCCTTCCTCCTCCAGGGTGAAAGGTATGTGTGTGTCTGTGAGTGTCATGTTGCGATGTGAGGTCTCACTCCCAAAAGCTCAGGAGTGAGACAATGAGGACTGTTCAGAGGTGCAATGGCTGGGTTGGGAGCGTTGGGATCAAGTCAGCGGTCTGATCCACTGACATGGACTAACGAGGTGGTAACTGGGCATGTGGGGTGGCTGGAGGAGGTGGGGCATGACTTTGTGGTCTTCACTTTGTCCCTGATGAGCGGAGCTCTCCCTCCTTGCTGGCTGCTGTGTCCTGAGCTGCGTTCCTCTGCTGCGCCCTTCCACAATGACAGTCCACCTCTCCACAGGCCCAAAGCTACGGAGTCAGCCTGAACCTCTAAACCAGGAGCCAAAACCAACTTTCCCCCTCTTCAGTTGCCCTGTCAGGTCTCTTGGTCACAGAGATGCAGGACTGACTGAAACAGGGAGTACGCACGTTATTAAATACACACACACAGACACGAACGTGCATTACAAGACGTAAGCCAGGACTTTTTCTCCTAACAGTATTTAATCAAAGGGAGACATGCTGGAGTTAGAGAACCCTTCTTCCCTAAAACTCTTCCTGCTAACCTGAGAACAAGTCACTGAGCAGAGCACCACTCAGAGAAAAAACCCCTCCAGCGGCCACGCAGCCAAGGTGGATCCAAGTTACAATGAGCTGAGGGAACTATTTAGTCAACAGCCATTTCTACTTACTTGGCCTAAAATTGTTACTTTTATCATGAATTTATACATTATTAAAAGAAAGAGCCAAGGAGCTCTAAGTAATAGGGACATTATGACATTCTGGAGTCTTCAGAAACAAGCATAGAAACTCTTGAGGAAAATTAAATTTTTAATGCTAGGATTATTCCTCCTCCCAATTCATTGGCTCTAAACCTTTCCATCCAGCTCTCCGGTTCTGCTGGCCAAACTAACCCACATGAAGACAGATGAGACCAACCCACCTGGAAGCCACCTGAGAAGCAATGACACTGGGTGGACAAGAAGGCTCTACCTACATAGACCCTCAACTTCCAAGTCTACCATCTCGAGGGCATCTTTCCAGTTATGTGCGAATCAATAGTTCCCTTCATCCTTAAACTGTAAACAGACAAAAAGAAAGACATATATAGTCCATACACACACACACACACACACACACACACGACAAGAGAAATCATAATGGACGAGATAAAGAAGACATTCCGAATAAGAAAGCAATCGGTTTACCCCTGCATGGAATTCAAAGGCCAGGCCAGTCAACATGAACATAAAAGCCTCCAGTTCACACTAAGGGTTCACATCCTAAAATTACAAAGGTCCTTTTAAGGGAAAATTATTTCAATAAAATGTGTGATACTTAAAAAGGGAGAAAAATAAAAATAAAATCGCAACAGTTTTCTCTTTGACAATTAGTAAAATGTTGATTAGAGCAACTGATTCAATCATATCTTATTTGATTCTTTTTTTTGTTGTTTGTTTGTTTTGGGGGGTGCGCGGTACTGGGGACTGAACTCAGGGGTACTCGACCACTGAGCCACATCCCAGCCCTATTTTGTATTTTATTTAGAGACAGGGTCTCACTGAGTTGCTTAGTGCCTTGCTTTTGCTGAGGCTGGCTCTGAACTCACGATCCTCCTGCCTCAGCCTCCTTCCTGAGCCACGGCGATCACAGGTGTGTGCCACCGCGCCCAGCTCTTCCTTGATTCTAATAAAGTGTCTAGATTCCTAAGTATGTACAGCCTTTCAGCTGTACAGGAATGAACACATGAAAAATCCAGGTTATGTAGCCTTCCACTACGTGGGCAGTACATCTAAACTGTTTTGAAATATTTAAGAGCAAGGCATTCCAAGAAATTAATTCTTAAAATCCATGTTCTGGTGTTAGACCACTGAACCTAAAATGTTTTTTCCTAGAATGGGAGGCATCTCAAGACTTCCAAATTAATTTAGGTTAAGAAGGAAAAACACAGAAGTTATGCACACACAACATATCATTACCACTGAGGTCTCTTAAGCCAAGACAGACATATCTCAAAGACTGTTCACTTGGAAAAATATAAGTAGGATGAGGATCACTGTGTGTGAGATGTGTAAATAGACAACCTTGTAATTTGAGTAGGCTACAGGATGCCCAGATATTTGTTCAGACACTGTTCTGGCTGTCAGGTAATCCACTCTTGGTATCCAGAATTAAAATCACCATACCATAGTGATAGGGGAACATCAACGTCTACAGTAGCGAATGTGTAACAGCCAAGTTATGGAACCAGCCCAGGTGCCCATCAACAGATGACTGAATTAAGAAAATGTGGTATATACGTACAATGGAGTCCTACTCAGTCATAAATAAAATCATGGCATTTGTGGTATATAAATAGAACTGGAAAACATCATGCTAAATGGAATAAGCAGACTCAGAAAGTCAAGGGTCAAACGTTTTCTCTCATATGCAGAAACTACAGCAAAGTAAAGGGGAACAAAGGGTTGGATCTCACAAAAACAGAGGGAAGACCAGTGGAGGAGGAGGAGACTGGAAGGAGAAGGAAGAGGAGAAAAGAAAGAAAACGTGGGATGAATGTGACAAGATCACCCTTTGTACACACGTACATATACCCCAGGGAATTCCACCTTGAGGTATACGTGTGTGTGAGTGTGTGTGTGAGAGAGTGAGAGAGAGAAAAGCACCAATTAAAAATGAATAGATAAATAAAGGACAGCAGTGGAGTAAAGAAAGGAGAGCAAGGGGGGAGAGAAGCAGCAGGTGGGGCCTGAGAGGAAGTGACTTAGACCCCAAGGGCGTATGACCATGTATCACCACGACGCACTGATAAGCACTTAAGTCATGATGATACTGATAGTAAAATAACAGCGAACACTATTCTGGGTGACTGCTGTCCCTAAGGTGGGAGACCCCATCAGTGAGAGGCCTGGACAGAACCAAGGCCGACACCCCCCACTCAGAGGGGGCTCGTGCCTGAGGGCTTAAGCTGGGACTCAGGTTCCCTGCTGTTTGGACTGGAAGGGAGGCATCAGCTCCGGCTGGTATTCAGAGTGGAACGCACTCCCTGGCTGTGGGTCTGGGTGCGCAGCCTTCACTCTTGGACTGAAACCATACCAACTGCTTTCCTAGATCTGTATGTAGCTGGTCCACTGCAGAATCTGCAAAGGTGTAAGTCACTTCCTTATATAAAGAATTATATATTACACGTATGTCCTGTTGGTTGTGTTTCTCTGAAGAACTCAAACTCCTTAACATAAAATAATCTGGAAGCCCGAGATGCTGCCCATTATAGGAAGAAACACTACAAATTCATAAGTGGGATGAGTCTCATGGCCCCTATCAGTGCAAAACAT